AGGGTCTTCCAGCTGCAACGTCCTTGACCCCTGGCAGCACTATCTCGTCAAGGAACTTATGTAGCTCTCCATGTCTGGTCTGATGCCCTGTGAATGGATTCATAACATTCCCATCATTTGTAATCATTCCAAACACCTTTGTAAGCACCATTAAACTCATCCAACTCTTTCCGAGTCCTCTGCACTGCACTCAGATTGACACCCTAACACTCTAAAATGTTTGTATTGGAGCTTCCGGCACGAATGCCAAGTAGTACAGCATGCTGTTTCCAAATTTCTGGTGGAGTGAATTGTGCCGTGGCGCTCACAGATGATCCCTAACTGATCCTACTATACTGTGGAGTCGACAAAATCAGAAACAATGCGCGCATGTAGAAAATTATATAAAATGGCGACAATTTACCCATCGCATCATGTGTGTGTTTGTATATATATATATATATATATATATATATATATATATATACACACATACAGGTCAGTGCCATTAAACAGCGCACCAATAAACCATGATATCACTTAAGACGTGCATGCACGATGGTCGCCACCAAATTTTTTGTCATGTTCATATTAGAAACATAATCATGAACGGATCCCAATTTAAAACAAATTCAAACTTGATTGTGGCACTTTTTAAAATCTGATTTTTTTTTTCTGTATAATCTTTTATTTTAATAAATTCATTAAATTGAGTTTTAATAACTACAGTATATCCGTATTTTCCCAGGCATTTACTATTGTTCAGTCTATAGCATTTTATACTCACGATTGTGTAGTGGTTTGAATTAGCACTTTGTAGACATTTTGAGTGTGAAATATGCAGCTTACAACCTTTATCCTAACTTAAAAATTTCACATATTTTCTCAACGGGATTTGCTTTACTATCGATAATGTACATTTCCAAATAATTTCCGCCATCATTTTAAAAAATTAATTTTATTATTTTCTTGTTAAAATGTTAAAATCTCGTGCATCCAAGATTTCCGTCAATCTTTTGCTGTCATCGATGATGGATCTATTGATATGCTTTATAATTGAATCATTTTAGGCCATCGTCTTTTTCAGAATTATTCGATTTGGAGCAGATTTTATGTGAAATTAAAGGATAGTTTATTAAATGTTTTTCAAAACTGCCAATATTCAACGCTTAGTATTGAATATATTTGGCATGCTTAGCCACTGTGTTAGCCATTTTTTTTTGATAACTCCATGGACATGACGAGCTTTGTTTTGGTGGTCTAAGCTGGCAATCCTGACATAACGGCTCACTTTTGATCTAAACTGCGGATAGAAATTTTGAACACCAGCTACAGCAGTTTATCGGCGGCAACCAATATATATATATATATATATATATATATATGTGTGTGTGTGTGTGTGTGCTGAACTCTCGTATTTGATGTATTAGTCAGTTCCTGGAACCGACACCCCAGACACCTGCACATATATTCGATTAGCTCAATGAAAATGTAAAGTAGTTGAGAGGAGAAAAAATATATTGAAGGGCTTACTTAAACAGAGTAGACATGTGCATGTATTAATTTAAAATATTTTTTTTTAATTTTTTTTTTTATTTACAGTCCCTTCTCCATGATCCAAATCCAGACAGCCCTGCAAACAATGAAGCTGCCCAATTGTATAAAGAGAACAGACGAGAATATGAAAAGAAAGTGGCAGCAATTGTTCAAGAGAGTCTCAAAGATGAAGAGGAGGAGGAGGAGGAGGAGCAATCATAGCAAAAATACATAAATAAATGTATATATATCTTTCATTATATATATATATATATATATATACATACATGCATATTTATAGAGATGTGTTTGTGTATGTATGCATATAGACAACATTTGCTATCATTAACCGAGAAACAAAAAAACTCAAAGTATTTGCAATTGTATTTTTAGAAAAAATAATGTGTGATCCAATATTATTAAAACCCAAAGCCTTGTCCCACGGCTGCCATATATTAATACCACTGTCACAGCCTTTTGATTTCACGTCATCTGGTTGATTCCATTTATAAGTTCAGTGGTTTTTCAGTTCAAGGAATGCTAAAATTTGATGAACCTTGGGTAGTGTAACAGTTATTAACACGGAATGTAGAATGGGCGAACTGAGTTCAAATTCCAGCGTAGTCTATTTGAATTCACTTTCATACTCATGTCCTTTTATCATGATAAACTGGCCTTTTAAAGCCTTGGTTAATAGCCAGTCTAGAGAAGGATTACTTTAAATACAAAACCGCGACGAAGGTAACGCAAAAGCACCTCTTTATCTTATCAGAGAAGTCACGGTGATTACCAGATAATAATAATAAAAAAGAATTTTGTGAAGGTTTTGAATGGATATGACATTAACATGTTTTGGGAGTTGAAATTAATGTATGCAAGATTTCACAATTCTAGCATCACTCCTTCATAGTCAGCCTATGAACTTTTCAGCCCACCCTCGTACCAGGAAAGAAACAATGCCGTATTAATAAGAAGAAGAAATTAATGCATGCAAGATTTCACAATTCTATAACTCCTTCATAGTCAGCCTATGAAGGTTTCAGCCCAGCCTCGTATTTTCCCATCATCGAAATCTTTTGCTTATCTGGATGGCGGGAGGTCCACTTAAAAATGTTATGAACACAAACTATAATTTGCGCTTTAAAATAAATAAATAAATAAATAAATAAATAAATAAATAATAACAAACAATAATAATAATAATAATAAAAGTAAGAAGAAAAATATTCTGCAACTGGCAATGAATTTCTTTTTTTCCATTCAGTTGCGTTTATTTTTCAGTTTGCTTTTTGCATTCTCACATGCTGTCCATTTTGTTAGGATTATTTGCACAATAAATATAACTTAAAAGATGAAAATGAATTAAACATCTCAATAATTAAGGATATTCATAATTACCAAATAGAGACAAATATATTCCAGGACCAGATAAAATCATTTACAATTCAATTGACTACGCAGATGCTCTAACCAATCGGGATCCATTGTGTACCACTGTCACCAACCTTCATTGACAACCACCGTATATGGTGTGAAGGTGCAAATAATATCGACAATAATAATATTAGTCATTAAAGAAAGACAAATACAATAAAAATAGGAAGAAATGAGAAAAATTCCAATCATATAAAAGACTGAATATAATAAGTTAACTAAGACGGTGTTTAAAAATAGACATGACCTGATAGTAATGGTATCCTACCGGGAATTTGAGAAACTTGCAACCCTGAATAATGAAAACGCAAAAACAAAGAGTCAAAAATTAATAATGACGTTGTTTATGTAAAACATTCCGATAACTTAAGACTGAAAATTGGAAACAATCAAAATAAAACGTGGTGTAAAATGAGATAAAGGAAAAAAAAAAAGTAGTTCTAAATTTGAATGGTGTCTGATTATTGGCTTTTATAGCTTAATTGGTAATGCGTTTTCTAAGTCAGACAAGCTCGCATGAATTATGAGATGCTTGTATAAATATCAAAAGATGATTCAGTACTTGAATCCATGCTGCTAACTTAACGGTCGTAGAATTCAAAAGCGATCCAACCGTTGCTACAAACAACAAAAAAATAAGATGAAAGGAAAACTAGCTAAAAATTAAATACACGCCATTCTAACTTTTTCTTACATCACGCATTTCTACATCTTTTTCTAACATCTATTTTGTATTCACAACCGTTCTTTTTATTTCTGGCTCAAATGAGGTAATTGTTCTTAAAAATGATGTCGATTAAATTCTGATTGTCGAGAAAAGAGCCAGACTTTAAAAAAATACATGATGTGGAAAAGAAAGTTAAATCACTTACTGACTTTTTCACTCCAATTTCATTTTGGAAATAGATAGATAGATAGATAGATAGATAGATAGATAGATAGATAGATAGGGCATAACTAGATAGATAGTCAACTAGAGATAGATAGATAGATATAAGTTGAGATAGATAGATATAAGTAGAGATAGATAGACATAACTAGAGCTAGCTAGCTAGCTAGATATCACTAGAGATATGAATATGCTTAGATAGCTAGATAGATATATGTATGCTGAGATAGACGGAGATATATAGAGAAAAAGAAAAAATAAAATTAAATAAATAAAAATGATAATAATGAAAACTGATAGATAGATAGATAGATAGATAGATAGATAGATAGATAGATAGATAGATAGAGACAGTGTGTATGTGAGAGGGAGGAGAAAGAATGAGTGAGAGTAAGTGTGTGGGCGTGTATGAAAAGATATATATATATATAATATATATATATATATATATATATATATATATATATATATAGAGAGAGAGAGAGAGAGAGTAATTGAAATAAACTAGAAGATTGTGAAGTAAAGGACAAAGAAGTTGATGAGAAAAACGAAAAGCAAAGGAGCAGGGAAACTGAAAGGGAAAGAGAGAGAGAGAGAGAGTGAGGAATGTCTTAATCTGATTGCTGGGAAATATCAAAAAGTAGGAATGATAAACAAATGAATGTTAAATTAGCCAGGGAATGTCTGTAATTTATATAATCAGACATATATAAAAGAGAATATGCTACCTAAATACACAATATATATATATATATATATATATATATAATAAAAGGCTTAAACACTTTTTTATTATATCCTAACTCTGTCCTGGATATTGAGTTCTACCTGGATTCTATCCTCTTGGAATTATTTTTTATACAAATATATATATATATATATATATATATATATATATATATATATACATTTAGATATATGATTTATACATTTATATATGATTGCATATGTAGGTGTATATTTTATATATATATATATATATATATATATATATATATATATATATATATATATTAAGTATATCGCCCCAAGCAGAGAAGTGCTACTAGCACGCAAGAGGAAGTTACAATGTGAGAGAGTAAGAATAAAGAGTAGTGTTTTGGAAAAGGATAAAGAGAAGGACGGGGATCAATATCAAGGCATCAGAAAATGTCGATTGACATTACATTTCAGTATTTGAAGATTATAGCTATCGGGGAAGCAAGTGATAGGGAGTTCCACTGAAGGAAGGTGCGAGATAAGAAGCTGTTGGAGTAGAAGAGATGGTTACATTTAGTCATTTCGACAGTGAAAGGGTTGGACTGAGATTCCAACCTAGTAGCACACTTAAAATTATGCAGTTTGGGAACCAGTGGAAGTAGCCCATTGGAGCAGTTGTCATGAAAGGACTTGTAGACAAGACAGAGGAAAACCACAGCACGTCTTTGACATAGCGACTGTAGACGGCATGCCAGATCAGGACCAACCACCTTGCATATCCCTCTCTGGATTTTTTCGAGGACCTCGAGATGAACAACGGGAGCCCCAGACCATATATGCCAGCAGTATTCCTTGCAAGGACGAATGGTTGATTTGTAGATTTGAAGGATGGACCCAGGCGAGAAAAACTTTCTAGTGCAACACAGAGAACCAGCTTTCCTTGCGGTAGATGAAGCTATAGATTCAATGTATTTATTTCTCTTCGGTTCAGTGAGACCAAGCAGGAACGGAGAAGCGCTCACGTGGAGTTGGACATCAGCTATCCTGGTCAGAGGCAGGGACGGTTCTCTATGGTGGGTAAATGAGAGCAGTTTTGCTTCAGAGGCATTAAAGTTTCCAAGCCATTTCCTGCCCCAGTCAACCACAGATTGGAGGTCCTTTTCGATGGCTACGGCCAGGTTAGTTTTGTCAGCTATGCCGGATTTACTATTGAGGATATATATATATATATATATATATATATGATCACAACTCACAGTTTTGACAGTACGCACTGAAGAACCAATCCGTTACTCTTGTAAATAACCTGAATCATACCATATAACAGCTTCCAAAGTTTAATCCATGTTCTCTTCAGATTGCATTTTCTGAGATAACTTTGAGATTATCATAATAATTATTCATTAAACCTTGTTAAACATTAATTTAATATAATTGTCTTTTGTTAAAAGAAAAATGATCATTCAAAATAACTTTTTTTTCATTATCCCATTATTCAAACACTCTCATTATCTCCAGAGCCTCGTACACAGACATTCCAACCGCCACAAAGAGGGAGTACATACCAAGTAAATGTTTATAGACTTTAATATCAATATTTACCCATCCCAGAACCAAGTAAATACTTAGAGACTCAAATGTAAGCGATCAATATTTATCTCTAGAATGGGAATTTAATGTAGTATTTGGACAGTGAATGTTAGTCCGCTTGCATCGGGTGCTTGTAATAGACAATGGACGCAATCTTATAAAAGTATTTAAGAAAACAAGGAAATAAAAAAAGTGGTTTGTAGATTTGATCGCTTTACAGACTTCATGAGGTTTATTTTAACTGTCTAGTCCGAGGTATGACGATAACCTACATATGGCAGCAAATCGAGAGTTTGGAGGATATGAGAAGCTTGGAACCACCTCTTAATTGCTGTTGTACCCAGATCAGGATGGGACATTTTATCACCGCCGACTCAACACCAGCCAATACATCTTTGTAAAAACTTACCAACAGCCCACTCAGTGTGAGAACAACTCAACGTTGGTGTCAAGTTCATAGCTTCAGACTATTGTTGGCGGTTCTAGTGTGTACATCACTTAGATTGGCTTTGAGTCATAGAGATTTTGAAAGTTTGATTGTTTGTCTTAGTGATTTATCAATTAGAACAACCTAATTGGCTGACTGGTGTTTAATTTTCCAGATCGGACAAATAATCACACTGAAGCAAATAGAAGACTGCACACAGAACTGTGGATGGAGCTTCATTACGGGGCTGCAAAAGCACTAAGATTCATTTTTTGAGAAACTAATTGGAGGTCATCCCTCTCTCCCCTTATTGAATAAACCGATTAGTGCTCTGCTGTATTCTGTTTAGGTGTATTACAAGCTCTCAGTTTCCCAGAAATTAGAACACATTTTGTATATATATATATATGATATATATATATATATATATATATATATATATATATATATATATATATAATTATATCCCATTCTCTGAGTCCTGGTTGGTTGCTGGTTCTAGTGTAGATACTGTGATAGATAAAAACCTATCATTCATCATTATGTTTGCTTGAGTACAGAGCTGTGTTGAAATACAGCTCGCTCACTTGCCAACTGGAAGCTAGTTTGGAACCTTCCTTCGAAGGTGAGTATCACATTCATTCTACACCCCTAATCTGAAGAAATCTATGAAGACAGATGAAAGAATTTTGCAGATTGTTTTTTCTTTTACACAATTATTTGAGAATTGCATACAATTTTCAAGAATATTTAAATAAAAAGTAAAGGCATGTATTAAAAAAACGTTCCTTAATAAATTACTTTTATTTGTTTTTAAATGGTCAATGGAAAGTTGTCATAGTTTGCATGTTGTTGAGTGTTTTTTACCCTGGAGTAGGCTGGTGGTGAGTTGTCACATGAAAAGAATCGTTGGTAATCATTTTACTGTTAGGTCACCTTCCCAGGTCTGCCCTGACCTGGGGTGTTAGCACCTATTAGGGTCCCAGCTATGGGCAAGTAGCGAAACCCTAAACAAAGGACTATGAAAGTATGAAAATACGCTTTATAGTAAAAACAAAACAAAACATACCAGCAATACTTTTATATAAAAAAATTACCAACAATATGTACATACTAACAAATTGTAGCGACTTCATGTTTAAAATACTACCAACATAAAAGAAATTTCATTGCATATAATATCCTACAATTTCAACGTATATCACCGGAAAAGAGTCTGAGTATACAACGGCCGAAACGTTATGAATATGACAATAAAGATGAGGACAACAGTCCAAACAATGTAAATAGTATAGTTATTAGAAATGATATACTCTTCAAGTAACTCATTTTAGAATTGAACTGAGCATTTTATGTTAAATGTTTGTACGCATTTTTTGTATACTATTTGAAATTTCTATGGCATATAATGAGGAAAAATGGCTTAGAAAATTTGATACTCACAAGATATATTGAAGGTGATAGGGTCAGGGAAAAACAGCGCATAAACTACCTAACGAGTTTGTGTAAACGGTTGTCAGAAATGGATTAGGAGAGACAGCAAAAAAACAGTATTTACTAATAGCTACAAAAGACTAGAAGATCTCCCACGTCCTTAAGGGGCACGGAACCTAGAAGAATAAGAATTACATCTGCGAATAAAGTATAAATAAAAGGACAGCCTCTCAAGTAGGCAGACAATGAGAGTCTGTGTGATAGTCTGTGTGGCAGTCGTACGTAACAGTCCAAGTCAAAGTCATTAAGAAATCTTTACTCTCCTCTATTCTCTGTCGTAGGAAAACTAATCTTCATAAGTAAAAAAAAAAATGAACTTACCACCACTATTTCTGGAAATATTTGGATTTAGTTTATCAGCTTTCTTTTCTTTTGTGAACGTGTTGAACGCCTAGTCTTCACTCTTCCACAAGTCTATTAGATCGGTGCCACCAAAATGAACCATTTTTTTAAAAAAAAATGAAAACAAAAAATCGCTACCCCTTGTTTTAAAATATTTGTCAAAAATCAGGGAATTATCCCATTTAAACGAAATTTTCAGTACTTATTCATTAGTTAATTAATTTTGTAGTCATTAGGTTATTTTATTTAAAAAAGATATGGAGGAAATATTGAGGAAGGTGAAAATTTAGACGCCCACTTTTTCGATACCTCTTCTTGTGTACTTTTTTAATTTGAGTGTTCATTCAGTTTTTTTACAGATATTATTTCGATAAAAATGTATGCAATATCAAGTGTGAACATCTGGAAATATCGTCCTCTATCTTACTAAAGTTAATTCAATAATACTTTTTTTTTTTTTTTTTTTTTTTTTTTTTTTTGAGAATTAGTGCTTGCACAATTTATTTTCTCTCAGATTGGTCATAAAAAATACACTTAGGTAAATAAAAGTTTATAGAATAAAAAAAATTATTCTTAAAAAATAATCACTTGCAATTAGGTACCTCCATTACTAATTCAGTATAAAGTTTCCATAGCTAAGATTTAAAATAGGTACCTCCACGGTTTCGTTGAAAAAACAGCGTAGAAGATTTTATTTTTGCAAACTAAAAAAAAAAAAACAAAACTGCTCTCATCATCAAAACGTTTGTTAAAAAGGACCAAAAAATTTTTTAATTATTTCATTTTTAATTCATTTCTAGGTGTTCAAAATTTTAAATGATATTTCTTTTGGCTGGGCAGGTGCGGGGGCATTGTCATTATTTCTACAACCAGTAAAAAGCAGTTGATGTCAATATTTAATTGGTGTTTTTTTTTGCAAAAATTACAAATTCAATGATATTTTTTATGAAAATTTCAGAACCAGTCATTCTTGAACAGTGAATTCAGCATCGTGTTTTGAATTTTTTGTCTTATACTGAAAAATCAGAAAAGCCGTAATATTCTTTTGTCATCGATATGTTATACCAACATGTCCGTGCCTTTTCATTGTGTTTTCATGTATGCATTTTAATTTAAAAAAAAAAAAAGATCGTTTTAATGATGAAGCTTGTTTTCATTTTTACCTTTAACCAATTGCAATCATTTAGTTATAATTTTAAAAAAATTTTTGCTAAATTTCGATCATCTGTAATAGTTTCTCAAAGTTTCATTATTATAACAGTATTAATTTTATTTTTGCAAATTTTTCAAATTTAAAAAGCACAATACAAATCATTTTGCACAAAAAAAAAAAAAACGTGCTAAAAATCTTTATAAGTTATTTTACTAGTTCCGGTTATCACAAAATAAGAAATAATATTTTTTAATCAAAATTTAGAATGTTCTTAAAAGAAAAATTTTTAAAATTTTTAAAATAAACTTTGATCTTTACTCTTATATATATATATATAAATATTTATATGATAAAATTTTGTTTTTCGTCAAACAAGCGTCTTTTCATCATTTCTTTCTTTTTTTTCAGATCTCATGGATGTACCTAGAACAACAATCATTATGAAATCACCTGTCATTTAGACGTCGCTAAAAAACACAATGTTTTCTCCCCTTTTCAAATGAAACGGTTTTGTGATGGCAACAAACTCAAAGCCACTTTTTTTCAAATCAAAACGAATAATCGTTTAAATTTCGTTAATATTCTATGTATGTTTTATAAAAGTATTTTCATTTTTTGGACAGTCAAAATTAATCCATTGCATGTTCAAAGTTAATATTAAAAAGTCCCGGTAATTTTTGTTCTTAGAAATAAAAATTCCATTATTTTTTAATATAATTTTTTTGAAATGTAGATGATGCTATTATATTAGTGTTTTAAACAAATATGTTTCTGGTAAAGCTAAAATGAAGCATGAATATTTAAATTTATCTAAATTCATTTAAACCTCAGATATCGTGTAGAATTAGTCTGCGTAACAAACATTTGTAGTATATTTTATAATTATTTACGAATTTTGAGAAATCAGGAATACAATTCTTTAATAAAAGTTTTAGAATTCGTAAATAATATTTGCTAAACTATTCTACAGTGGGATAATCATTATTTTTAATTATAAATTAAATTTTAAATTTTTTTGATTCAAATAATTAATATAATTTTTTTGCTATTGTCAAAATTTATGAATTTTTTATTGTATCTTTTAATTCTGCATTCATCCTGTTTATAATTTTCGTTTATCTGATTTTTTTAAAAACCAGTAATGTTATTGTTTAAATAAAACTATTCTCCATTGTCTTTAATTTGAACCAGTTTTTTTTTGTGTTTTGTTTTTTTTTGATTAAAACCAGTTAATTAATCAGCGTTTGTTTTATATTTCAAATACATATATATATATATATATATATATATATATATATATATATATATATATATATATATATATTCATGCATGTTTCATTAGATAATATAGACAAGTGTTGTTTATTTATTTTTATATAAATTCGTTTCATAACGTCTGATAAATGTTGCCATAACATTATCATTAAACGCTGGCGTTGCCAATCACAATATTGAAATAATGCCAATCAATCTAAACTTTGCGCCTTACATTATTTTTGTTTTCAAAGCATGTCAATTACAATACAACATTTTGCCAAAAAAATACGGACAGGAATATATATATATATAATATATATATATATTATATATGAAATCAAATGACCTGGTTTCAAATTCAAATATATTTAAATAGAATTTTTTTCAATATTCACTGCTGGTATTTTTTCTATAAAATTCTTTTTTAAAAGGTTTCGAACGTTGGTTTTGCGACAAGTTTAAACACATTAAATAACGAACGAGGACCATAAAATTGGATCCGTGAATAAATTTTAATTTAAGATTTTTTCAGTTTTAAAAACCTCCCTCAGTTCACCTTCCCGAGTTCTTGAGGTAGTTTATATTGTTTCATCAGCAGAACCTTTGAAACAAAAGGAAAATTTTTTTTTTTACATTTTCCGTTCCTTGCTGGACAATGACGTGGAAGACGGCTTTGAAAACATCGCCACTGGTTTTAAAACTTCGTAAAAGTTCCCCTTTAAATAGGTGAATAATTTTTTTCATTTTAATACTGATTACTTTTGCCAACGGCAAATAGAAATTAAATTTAATGAAATTTTTTGCAGGCGTTTTTACCGTTTTTAGAAATGGATCGTGGCGATACCTATTTTTTTTAAATCAGTTTGACACCCCAATAATCGGTCGAGGATTTAGCCTGCAGAATATCCGGTCATCGTAATGGATAGCGGCTCCAATCGGCGAATCGGATGGAATGATCTCGAATTGTTTTCGAATCCATTGAATTCACGAACCAGTTTTTCCCTTTAACTGAGATGTGAATCCTCTTCTCTCCCTCCAGCTCTGGCTGTTTGTTTTAAACAATTTTTAATTTGATGGCAACTTCGTCTTTCGCAGGATCCGTATGGAACCCATTGCGGAAAAATTCAATTCGTCAGTTTCTGTTTAATTTTGAAAACTTAATGACTGAAATACCCCAATTTCAAGTTGATAATGTTCTAAGACGCCATTTTAATCGTTTTTTTTCCCGAAGGAGACAATTCACTGAAAAACAAATAATTAAATAATAAAAAAGGAAACAAAGAATAAACATGTTCTCGTTTTAAAAAAATAGGGCTCCTCTGCTAACCGCTAGTATTAGTAGTATTAGTATTAGATGTATCATTACCACAAATTTTCTTTTCAACTATTATATTTGTGATATGGTCGTTATCTATCCAACAGTGTTATGGAATTTGGTAAAATTAAATTTTTCACCCCTGTCATCATCAATGTCCTTAACTAGGAAAGGAAATCACTGAAAGTCTTAGTGGATTACATTAACGTCATATTGGGTTATTTTTGAAAGCTCGACGCTACTAAATTTTGAAATTGGCTACTTCCGACTATGGAGGCTACTTTTGAAATAAGCAAGGCTAACTTGAACTGTTATGAAGAAAGCAAATTCAAAATGTTAGTAATATTGGCCTTTCAGATGTAGCCCAATGCACTAATTATAGCTGACACTTTCAAATTTGTTGCTTAAAAACGCTGGTGATGCCCAGAGCCAACTCCTTGATTGTATACCCCTGTAGAGGGGCCTATGCGGCATTGTATTGAGAAATGTGAGAAAGGAAGACATTTTAAATATGTAAGAATAGATGGAACCTGAAATAAACATTTTATTAAAATTAAATATAAACTAAATTTTTTATTTCACTCTTTGATTGGAAACCCTCCAATATGAATGACGAGGGCCGTTGTACCTTCTGTTTCCCTTCTGTACGTTATGTGACGTCCTTGTCGCAGCGCCAGCTGTGACGTCCTTGGTCGCGGCGTCAGCTGCGACGTCCCTAAACACAGCCTTCGCTCGCTCCTCGCTGCTCCGTTCGGGTGTCGCCGCTCCAAACGTGACGTCCGCCTGTCGCGTCAGTCGTGTTGTCTCGTCCTGTGACGACCAACTGGCTTGGTATCGGTCGCGGCACCCAAATGTGACGTTCTAACCTTTTGGTGATTCGGATGGGAATCTGGTTAGATTTGATATCAGCCTCATCGTTCCCAACTCGCTTCCAACGCCTGGTTACTAAAGTAACTGCATTGATCTCCAGTCTGCCTACCCACGTTGTGAATTGATCTTAGGCAGACGAGATCAATCAGTAGTTGAAGGCCGTAATGCAAATCGGGTTCAACGTAATGGGGTTCACCACAAATATGCATAAAAAAAAAATAAAATGATAACTCAAAAATTCAAGGTATCAAAAAAAAGGATAACAAACTTTATGTCTAGTTGTTGGATACATAGGACTGCGTCTATTTCCCGACCCGTTCTATGGATTGTGACACGTTGTTTTCCGTTCGGCGAGTTTAACGCTTCAAGTTGTTTGCTCTTTAAGAAATTGGTTTTTCGGTGTGTCTTCGGACGAAAGTCGAAAAAAAAAAAACTTATTCTGGTGGTCTGGATCTAAGTCGCTCTTCAAATTAATTGTTCTTGGATTGAAGAGAGTCCGGAATTTGCGCGAATCTTGGTCAGCTATCTGCGAGGCGGAATTCTCTCGAACCGAACTGGAACTCAACTGGAACTCAACTCTGCTCAACTGGAACTCGAACTGAAACTGCTTTCTGCTCGCTGCGACTTCGTTATATGGACGCCGACCAAAACCGGGGTGGGTTTGTCGGCGCCAGGGGGTTCCTCGATAATTCTAAATACATATCCACCTCTTTTATTTCTGGTTAGGAATTTTCCACTTTTTTCCATTTTGGGAGCCTTCTCTTACTCCCACCTTCTCACATACTTCAGAGGGCGTGAACTGCCCTCCCCACTTCTTCGTAGCAACCTCTCATACCCATCCTCTGGATGGGCGGCGACAACCTCCTCCTTGATTAACAAAAAAAAATTATCTTTTTCTTTTCCTTTTTTCTTTCTTTTAATCGCAGTTATCATTTTTCCTTTTCTTCAAACAGAACAATACGAACGATGGTGGTCATAACTCTTGTTCTTCACCTGGGCTTCGTCAGTCATCTTATCGCTAATTATCAGAATGGGTGGTCTTTTTAACACGGCCGGACCGTCGCCTCGAAAAAAGAAACATTTCTAAGTTCCCATTCATTTTTTCGGTACATATTTCTGATAACATAATTTTATTATCGCAAGCTAAAGATGTTCCGTCGAAAGAAATCGGTCAGTGGACACATCGTGTGCGGCTTTTGACACAATTAATTTTCATATCTATCCAAAGCCCTTTAGTTCACCTGTGTTTTGTCAATTATCAAAATAACATTTTCAATTGGACTTTTCTTTTTGGCTAGTCGGTCTGGGGTTTGTAATCAGATTAGCGGTTTGTTTATGTATCCCAGATAACGCAGCCCGTCGCCAGAACACACCCGATTCCTTTATCCACTCAGAATTTCCCTGCCATTGTAATGACACTCTTTCGCCATTTATTACTTATCAAAATATCCTTTATCCATTTTCTCTTAGCCGTGGTGTTCTGCTTATTAGCGACGCTTTGGGTCTTCGCCTCTCCTTCCCTTTCTTTTCTTTTTCTGCCTTGTTAAATGGTGCCACAGTTATTGGGTGAAGCTCCGTTTACCCTAGAAACTGTCTGTTCATTTCTTGGGTTAATCGAGTGTAAACCTATACAGTTTTAGTAGTAAAACACAGCGGTATCATAAAAATGAAGTAATGAGTTGTGTAAATTCTGTAGGAATAACTTAGAAATACCATGCTTGGTTTAGAATTACAGGCAGTACGATTTCTTAAAGCCTCGTTCTCATTCCTTTTGAGTGACATGTTTCTTTTCTACCTTCCGCAACACACGCAGCATGTAAGTACTTCAGAGACATCAAATGAAAATCGTGTTGAACTTTCGACAGCTTTAAACGATGAAGTTCCGTTCTTTCCTGCAAACATGTTTTGTTAATACATTTATTATTTGCTTAAAATCCATGACTTAAACTATATTTACCCGGACTCATATGAGTCTGCAACATTTTGTTTGTGGGACAATTCATACCAAAAGTCGT